AAGAAAGAAAGAAAGAAAGAAAGAAAGAAAGAAAGAAAGAAAGAAAGGAAGAAAGAGAAAGACACCACTTTGGAATGACAGTCAACTAAAGCAATTATTTTTCCGGTGCCCACACATGCTTAGGCATCTTTTTATTTTTGTAAACTCAGATTGGAAAGCTATAAATAGTTTATCCATGTTGCTTAGCAACATCCATATGGGCCTTTCATGTTCAATAAGACTTACTTGTTCCTCCTGTAAGGAAAGAATAGTAAATCCCTGATAAATACAACAGTAGCAGTTTTATAAACCATTCTCGGGGAAACTCTTGGATAGTTCTTAGCGGTGCCAAATGAAGGGACTTTGGGGTGAATGATTTTAGCCTTTGGATACATCCAAATGCAGCTGCCTTTCAAGTTGGCTCTGTTTCGCTGAATCAAAAGAGGAATAAAATGCACAAAGTAGTCTTGAACAAAAAGGCCAGTTTTATAACTGAAACTGTACAGTTGCAGACTATTTTTCTCCGCATCCTTCCTAGGTGTTCATTATGTTTTTTTCTTCAAGCTTAAGTGGATCACTCGTGAAACGCCATCATAAGCTGCAGGAAAAATATGTTGAAGGAAGAAGGGAGGGAGGTGAGAGGAAGGAAGGAAGAAGGAGAAATGAGAGAAAAGGAAGGAAAGGAGAGAAGGGAAGGGGAATGAAAGAAGGAAGGAAAAGAGGAAAGAAGAAAAGAAGAGAAATAGGAAGGGGGAGATGAATGAAGGGGATGTAGATCACTAACCTGATCAAGCTACAGGGCATTTTTTACAGGCGGCCTTTCCAGGCCAACCTGAAACCCAACCGTGCCACGGACCCTTTCGGTGACCTTCTTCCTTCTGCTTTCTTCCCCACGTCTTCCTCCTCCCTCAGTACACCATGAATGGGAAGAAGGTGGAAGTGGCCGTTAAACAGGTCATCGCTGGCAAGGAAGTGGCCAAGCGGGATATCTTTTCGAACCCGGAGGCGCTCGATCTCTACCGTAATATTCCTGAGCTGCAGGATTTTTGAAGGCACCTCGTCTCTTCCCGTCTCTTGGTGTGTGAGTGTGTCTCTATGTGTGTTTGCGTGCCTCTGTGTGCGTGCGCGTGTGCGTGCGTGTGTGCGTGTCAGATTATATCCGGTGTATATAATACGTATATGGATGATATCCATAAAAGAAACCGACTCGAGCGACCTTCTTTCCAGACGGGGGATAAGGAAACAAAAAATAATAATCTGATTTATCCGAGTGCTTTCGGGAAGCGACAAGGGCTTCAATTTAATTGGCATGGATTGGGAGGGATCTCCCTCTTGCTTTTCTTCCAGCTCAGAAAAAAACAGATAGGAATCTGAACTCTTTGGGGCAGAAATCTTCCCAACTTAGGTGCTAAAGGATGGTTGAAATGTCGTTATTGTTTGAAAAGCAAAGATGAGTTGGGCAGATGTTTCTCAGTGGTGAGAAGGAACCTCTGGAAGAGCCATTTAGTTGCTTTCTCTCACTTTTGTGGGGTTGCAGGAAGCTTGAAGAGTTACCTTCTCGGTTGAGGTAGAGCCGTGATGGCGAACCTATGGCGTGTGTGCCGGAATTGGCATGCAGAACCATCTCTCTGGGCACGCCAGCTGCCACCTGTTGTTTTTCTGGGTTCCAGCACAGGCATGCACGCTGGTCAGCTGGTCTTTGTGGGTGCATGTATGCCAGGAACGCGGGAGTGCTGGAAACCGGAAGAGCAGCTCTCCGGCGCACATGCGCGCACCGGGAAGCTAAATAGGAAGACCAGGTGGCTGGTACTCAGGCGCATGCCGGAAACCAGAAGCTCAGTGCTCCCATGCGTGCGTGCCGGGGAGCTGCTCTTCTGGTTTTTGGTGCTCCCCTGTGTGTCACGCACACTCCCATTTCGGTACTCAGTGCCCAAAAGGTTCGCCAACACTGAGATAGAACATTGGTAGGAAGATACAGAGTACACCGCCATCTTGGGAAAAAAAAGCTTTTAAATAATGTGTCGTTTCCGCCCGGAATCCTTAACCCTGCCAACCAACTTTTCCACTTGAGAAAAGTTTGCTAGTGCGAGGGAACATTCGTTTTACTTTTTTTTTTGTTAAAAGAAAGAGAGAGAGAGAGAGAAAGAGATACACTTTTTATTTAACTTTTTTAAAAAACAAAACAAAAACCCAAATCTTTATTTTTCAGGTCACCGTTGTAAAAAGGACTCCAATTTTGCAGAAAGATGAAAAGAAGTTTTTTTGGGTTGGTGATCCTGGGCTGGTGTTCCTTTTCATGGGACCATCTAATCCAGGGATTTCCAACCTTGGCAACTTTAAGACTTGTGCAACTTCAACTCCCAGAAATTCCTCAGCCAAAGCTGGCTGGGGAATTCTGGGAGTTGAAGTCCAGAAGTCTTAAATGTTGGCTAAGGTTGGAGATCCTTGGACTTTCATGGGTCTGTGGGATGTTTTTTTTAAATCCAATCCAATGGCACTTTTGGTGCAGGTTTTAGGTTTTGGTGAAGGGTCAGAGGAGGGGAGGAAAAAAACACCCCCCCCCCCCCAAGCATAGAATTAAAAGCAAAAGTTTTTAAGTTTTTAAAGTTTGAGGAAGCCTATGGCAACATTAAAGTGTCTGCACTCCTGCTGGCTGGGGAATTCTGGGAACTGGAGTCCAGGCAGTTGCAAAGGTTGAAAGACACAAATGCTTAGGTATTTACAAGGCAATTGTAGATCTTTCATGACTGAGATCCTTGTTTTTAGAGTCACATCTTTTCAACAGGTAGGAATTTTGAGCTCAGTTTATTTTGCTTCTAATTGAGGATACTTCATTAGCCAAGGATCCTTTAAAACGGTTTCCTCTATGTGGCCAGGAGTTCCAAAGGCACTGACAAAAACAACATGTTGCTTGTTGATGTCCTATGGAACCAATACAACAATTGCACTTAAACCGCCTGGAGGAAAAAAATTCAGAAGAATTCACTTTGAGGTCAGGAATAAGGACTCTGATCCATATGGTGCAGTGAGATGGAGCAGACCCAGCCTCCACACCTGCCAGGTAGGAGTTTGGAGTCCAGCAGTTCTTGGATAAGGGAGGCCCTATCCTTTCTCGTCCAAGTGTGAGAAAGCGATTGTGCAATGGGCTTGTTTAAAAGTGGGTGTAAACACAAATATTGGGTGGAGGGAGAATTCTAGAAGGTGAGTTCTGACTTACCTGAAAAGGAAGCCTCGTGGTTTGAGGCTTGTGGCTAATATATATATATATATATATATATAAAAACTGTTTATTCCTTTATTATTATTATTATTATTATTTTTAAATGAATTTTTTAAGGGCATAAAAAGGACTAAAAATGTGGTCGGGGTGCTCTATAGCTGACTTGGTTTGTCAACAAGCGTTTTCTTCCCCTAAAAAATGGTTACGAGCCTATGGAAATAGGCCAATTAATTACACATTTCTAAAGGAAGTTCTAGGTATAAAAAAAGAACAGGAATTGAAGGGGAGGGGAATTGAATGAATGGTGGGCAAATTTTATTTCCTTTTTTTAAGAAAAAAAAATCAAGATATTGAGGATGCTGTCTAATGTTTTACTGGATTGAAACTTAATAAAACACTAAATTCTCACCTGTTTTGTTTTTTTGCGTCGGTACCTGGACTCTGCATTCAGGTACCAAGATCATAGAATTACAAGAACATCCTATCAAACGGTGCCTCGGCTTAATAGATGGATGGTTGGTGAGAAACGGTGCAGAAAACGTAATGCAAGGAACTTGTTTGTCTGAATATTTTTATGAACGCTATGGATTTAGTGCCGTTGTAGATTTTTTATAGGGAGTCCTTGACGTACAGCAGTTCATTTAGTGACTGAAGTTACAATGGCACTGAAAGAAAGTGACTTACAGTTTCTCACGCTTAATAACTGTTGCAGCGTTCCCATAATTATGTGATCAAAATTCTCTGTCTTTCTTTCTCTGTTCTTTCTGTTCTTCCCTTCCCCTTTTTCTCCTCCTCCTCTCCTCCTCCTCCTCCTCCTCCTCCCTCCCTCCCTCCC